TTTATCCTTGATTGAAAAGGCAGATTCAAAGCTCATTGGCAAGAGCAGGAAGATGCAGTTATTTGAATTTCTCACTCACTATTGGCTTTTTTTAAACAAATGAGTGCTTTGTCAACAGAAGCGCAGACTGGCAATTACAAAGAGACAGCATATAAAAGAGTACATTTAACATGTTTAAACTGCAAATAAATTATCGAATAACCTTTCCTTAAAATTCATGTAATGGCATTATTGTCTAAAAAGCTCATCCAAGAACACACTGCAAGATTCGCAGAGTACTCTGTTGTTTGTGGGATCAAGTTCATACACTTTATAGGACAGAACTTTAAAGAACATGTTCACTGTCACTGTTCACTATAACTTTATATACTAAAGCTATATGAGTACTGCAATAGCGTGTTGACATTTGATACAGTGGTAGTGGTAGTGGTAGTAGTGGTGGTGGTGGTGGTGATGGTAGTAGTAGTAGTATTAGTAGTAGTAGTAGTGATACTTGTACTTGTACTTTTACTTCTTCTTCTTCTTCTTCTTCTTCTGTTGTTTAAACGACAGAGAAACCCGGAGCCAATAGAAAACAACCTTACAGAGTTTAAAAGTCGAGCCGATCATACCAATAATGAATGAAATAGATGCATACCGTTTTGTTTGGTTGCGGATTTATAAGGCAGCATACAGTACAAGCGACGTACATGAACGGATTTATTGAATATGTACTTATATTATTAAACAATCTAAAATATCCTCCTTGGAGTTATCTTTCTTATTTACGGTTAAAGATAGCTTTCTTTTTACACCCCTACCTCTTAGAGTTGAGATCTCCCGATGTCAAAGTTGACCCACAGGGCTGTCACGGCTTTGTTACCTTTGTTGCCCTTAAATGTTGTGAATAGAAGAGCAGGGCAGATGAATATATAACAAATATCTGTACAGAAGGAACCACTCTACACGTTAGCAGTAACAGGTATGGTAAAGTCTTTAACTACTGGTGAATTGGGCACAGTGTATTTGCGAGAAAACTCAGTGGAAGCGAAACCATTCATCTATGCTAGGTTAGCCGAACAGCTAGCTGTTGGCTAACATTAGCTGTACTTGTGGCGCTGGTAGCAATGCCTTTGTGTTATCCCCGGTGTACGAAACATATACACTCGAGATTAGATGGCTATAAATCCGTATTCACGATGTTTTAAAATGGAAAATCGATGGCAGGTTCTCAGTCAGGTTTAGCTTGTAAGTTAGCATAGCCATTGAGGAAGAGGGGAAACTCTTGTTAGCAGGTGTAGATGTGAAGTCGCAGAATTTGGTGTTTAGAATAACATTAAATACTGTTAATGTACTTATAATTATTACCTGCGTAGTTCTGTTTAAACTTTGTTTTGATGTGTCATCGCTACCTTATCCTGTGTTGGTGTTGTTTTTTTGTAGTTCACCTTTTGTTTACCTTCTGTTGCTAACTACAAAACCCTGGCACATGCATTCATTTTCACCCACTAGCACACTCTTATGCTAAACCAGATATGCATCACCTAGCTGTGTTTCCTCAACATGCATATTGATTCATTTAGCAAAGACAAACCACCCAAAAGATGGAAGAAAAGATGAAGGGATCACTGCCTGTTATCTCCCCGGAGTATCTTCAACAGTGGTGAGTCTTCCTCCTCACCAGTGTGGCAATACAGGAGGCAAAGTGTTATGAAATCTAAAGTGAAAGCATGTGCAACCCCAATGCCCGTTTTGACGTCTTCCATTGTTTTTATAATTTGGCATTTTGATTATTCACCATGAGTGATTTACTGTGCTGAATCTATAGCTTTATTATTGCTCAGTTGTATTTTACTGTACTGTTGTTTTCCCTTAATATGATGTGAAACTTTACTACAGTCTCTCTGATTTACTAAGTACAGTTGGCTGTGAACTAGAAGTGTGGGTTTTTCATATGCAGTGACAATAAAATGGAAGCAATTCCACTTCCATGTTTTTCAAACTGATATGCAGATATACAGTACAGATAACTCAAAATTGTACTTAAGTACAGTACTTGAGTAAATGTATTTAGTTTACTTTCAATCTCTAATAATCAGTTTATGGTCATTTTGAAGTTTGCACTTTGGGAAAATCTTGAATTATATTTCATTATTGTAAGAGGTGTTTCTAGTTCATCATCATCAACATAAAACCTCATTAACACCCCTCTAAACACTTTTAACCAAACAACTTGGACCTATTAGTAGTAGGACAGCATGCATCAGTTGCGTTTATCAAACAAAAAAATGCATCATCATTGTGTAACAGTCAAATACAAAAATGCTGAAACTTAACACAAAAGCACAAATTGCATAACACACTTGGCTTTAACAATCAAAATAAAGTTTTTAAAAGGCCTCAACAGTTTAAATTGTTTGTTTTTTTTTATCACTGTGCCCATGCTGAGCACATGTGATTTGCACCTTGAGGTCAGTGGGGTTTTTTTGTGGGGTTTTTTTTTTTTTACACAATAGTCCAACTTGGCTTTAACCCTGCAGCTGTTACTGTTTTGCATTTGTATTAACACGATTCTGTTTTTTAAAAAAATGTTCTACCACAGGGTTCAGTCTGCACAGCAGTTTCACGCTCTCCAGGCCCAGTATTCAGGCTTTAACCCCAAGCATCAGTTTCACTACCCTGAAAGGCCGATGGAAGAGACAGCATGATGGATCTTTAAATGAACCACTCTCAGACACCAACTCAGACATCAACTTTAAGAACTAAGATGTTAATTTTTCACCCTTCTCCAGCCAGGTGGCTTTAGAGATAACATCTCTCCAACTCTCTCTGTTTACTCTCCAAAATCATATGAAGGTCATGGAATCTTTGGCTTGCACAGGCAATTTTCCCTATATATATAATTTACTAAAAACAGATTTATGTTCATTTTTGTTTTATGTACATCATCTAATAGCAGTATAAGAACAATGGGGTCGAGCTTGGATTGACTGTTCTGGGAGTTTTTGCTGTTGTATTTACACCAGAAATTTAATTTAATTTGGAACATTATTGTTCCATATGCAATACCGCTGCGCCCCGGGTTCGAATCAGGGTTGCGTCAGGAAGGGCATCCGGCGTAAAATACGTGCCAAATGTCAACATGCGAGTCGTCAGTGTGACGATTCGCTGTGGCGACCCCTAGACGGGAAAAACCGAAAGTCACTTACAGTGGGTACAGAAAGTATTTAGACCCCCTTAAATTTTTCACTCTTTGTTATATTGCAGCCATATGCTAAAATCATTTAAGTTCATTTTTTTCCTCATTAATGTACACACAGCACCCCATATTGACAGAAAAACACAGAATTTTTGACATTTTTTCAGATTTATTAAAAAAGAAAAACTGAAATATCACATGGTCATAAGTATTCAGACCCTTTGCTCAGTATTTAGTAGAAGCAGCCTTTTGAGCTAATACAGCCATGAGTCTTTTTTGGGAATGATGCAACAAGTTTTTCACAGCTGCATTTGGGGATCCTCTGCCATTCCTCCTTGCAGATCCTCTCCAGTTCTGTCAGGTTGGATGGTAAATGTTGGTGGACAGCCATTTTCAGGTCTCTCCAGAGATGCTCAATTGGGTTTAAGTCAGGGCTCTGGCTGGGCCATTCAAGAACAGTCACGGAGTTGTTGTGAAGCCACTCCTTCGTTATTTTAGCTGTGTGCTTAGGGTCATTGTCTTGTTGGAAGGTGAACCTTCGGCCCAGTCTGAGGTCCTGAGCACTCTGGAGAAGGTTTTCGTCCAGGATATCCCTGTACTTGGCCACATTCAACCAGTCGTCCTGTCCCTGGAGGTGAAAAACACCCCCATAGCATGATACTTAATTCTGCAGCGGATCCCGGATCTGTGGGTTCACACTGAGGTGAGACAGGCAAGAAGTAGAACAAATAAAAACACCCCTGAAAGTCTTTGGCTAAATAAATTATGTGCAAAGACGAGTAAGCTTGCGCTTCATGAAGTGGTGAAAGCTCAGTGTTTCTCACTGGCCTGTCCTGAAGCCTGGAGCCAGAGGCTTTGATTCCTCTGTCAAACACCACTTCATGCATCTCCACAGCTGTTACCATTACTGTAAGGCTCATCATGTGTACTCATCCCTACTGCACTCAGGCACTGTACCTTCACCATCACTCTGTTGCTGTAGGATCAAACGTACTAAAAGATTAAATGAAAGCTTTTTGTTAAAGGTTTTCTCTGATGAGAGGACACAAAGAAAGAAAGGAAGAAAGTTGTAGTGGGTCAGAAAAAGAGAGAGCAGAACTATGGCATTACAAAAGGGGAGAAGCAGAACCTATCCCAAAGCCACTCTTGTGTAGCGGGTCCTTGCAGTTCTGAGCAGCCTCTAATTAGGGTAGTATTCAGGGGTGGCATTAGTTCCCAAACTTTTTTAATGGGGTGGAAAGCGGAGCTCCTTTTAGAGTAAGGGGATAAGTGTAGTGACTGTTCCATACACCGAATAGCAGATGGAGAGATTCTGCACCTCCCTGGGAGCTATTCACTCCTTTTACGCTTTTTTCCTCATTCCTCCTCCTCTCCCAATCCTCAATTGCTCTCTTTTTTTATATACTTCTGTGTTTTCACCTTCATCAGATGTACTCAGGTTTAGACAGAATTTTGGCTTTTATAAAGCAATCCAGGAAACAATATTAACCTACAATGGATCATTGTGCAGTGTCCCTGTAATAAATAAATAGATTTAATGCTTGTATAAAATTGACTTTTAAAGTAAATACTATTTATTTCAGATTTTTGTTTAGTGGGGATCAAACATGAATGGAGAAAACACATAAAGCTTTCTTTTTAAATTAATGAGGAAATTAAAAGCGTGGTTTCTGATTAGATTTGACCTACAACATCTTCTCAGATGGATTTCCTTTATTTACTGGTGTTTTTAAATAAAACCTTGTAAATATTCTCTTCTCACCCTTTATGAAGTAAAAACATTGTACTGAGTTACTTTGTGCAATTGTTCTATAAAGTATTGTTGTGATGGAGGTGGGGGTGATAGTTGGTATAGATGTGTGTGTGTGTGTGTGTGTGTGTGTGTGTGTGTGTGTGTGTGTGTGT